GCAACACTTTCAATTTTTCAATGAACTGAAAATTTGCATATTTTCAAAAAATTCGTTCGCAGCTCGGATCTTAACCGCAATCGTATGTGTAAATGAAAGTGCATTTTTATGCGTTTTTGCATAATATGTAAAAACACATATTGTGGCTACTCCGGTGTATGTGTGTGTGTGTGTCTGTCCGGCTATTTCAACTCGGCACTCAAGCAAGCTTCGACGCCAAGATTTTGGGAGTGGGTCCCCCGACTAAGTGCCACCCCAGGACCGCGGTACCAACCTTCAAGCACATCTAGGCCCCGCGTACGAGCGCCTCAAAGTTGTGGCGGGAAAATCGCTAACTCGAGAACCGGAAAAGCTAGAAAGCTGAAATTTTGGGTTGATGCTTCCAGTCCAAGTAGAACTCAAAGATTTCAAATTCAGTCCCCGGGGGTTCGTAGTTCCCGCGTACGGCCCCATGAGGGTTCCTGGCGCGAAAATCGCTAGCTCGGGAACCAGGAAAGCTAGGAGGCTGAAATTTTCAGGGAATGTTCCCAGCTCATGAGCAACATAAATTTATCGAATCTAGCCTCCAGGCATGCGTGGTTGTCACGTACGGCCCTGTGAAATTTTCTGGCAGGAAAATGGCTAAATCGGGAACTACGGAAGCTGAGAGTTGAAATTTTAAAGGCATGTTCCCAACCCCCCGTAAAAGTTAAAGATATCAAATTCAGCTCCCAGATATGTGTAATTCTCATGTACGGACCCATGAAATTTTTTGGCAGGAAAATTGCTAACTCAAGAACCAGAGAAGTCAAAAATCTGAAATTGTAACGGAATGTTCCCTGTCCAAGTACCACGTAGACAATTAACTTCCCGAACTTCGAGGACCAGTATTTCACAAATCCTAGCTACAAGATTTCCGATCGATCTCATTACAGCACGAAATACTGCAAAACGCATGATTGCGCGGGCCCGCCCGATGCGCGTCGCAAACGATTTGCATGAAGCCCGATCATTTTTCCGGTGAATGATTGTTCAAAATGCAAATTTGAAGGATGTCCGAAGAGAATTATGAAATCTGCAAAATGCACTCTCTTTTGAGCTTGCGTTGAAATTGAGTATTTGTCGTGTTTGCACGTCTGGAATTATGCCTCCAAACCGATGCAAGACCACACATGAATATCGAATATCCTTGCAAAGTTACAGCTTCGCAGCTTGCCTGGTAGGCAAAATAGCCACTTCGCTACAGATATCTTTGAAGGGCCTTAAGGTGCAAATCGGAACTCAGTTTAGGTATACGATTTTCCGTATGAACGATGAATACTTAGACAAAATTTCAGCTACTGTTTTCCGAATTTGCACAGTGCCAACTGCGAACTTTGACGTGACCGTGTGCGTGGTATAAGCGTGTGCTATAGCTGAACGCCCCTGTCTGTGTGTATGCGTGTGTTTGTGTGTCCGAGTGCATTTTGTCCCAGAATTTCAACTCGGGAACCACAAGAGCATGGAGATTGAAACTTAGGTAGAATGTTCCTCATCTAAGTGCGACCCCGCAAATTTAAATTCAATCTTCCCGTGTGTGTGTGTGTGTGTGGTTATCACATACGGCCCTGTGAAAATTTCGGCAGGAAAAATTATTACCTCAAAAGTCATAAAAGATAGGAAGCTGAAATTTTGAGAGAATATCCTTTGCCCACATGCGATCTCGCAAACTCAGGTAAGCCTGGGTTTCCTGTACTTCCCCGCGAAAATTTTGGGGGAAGGAGAGGAGGAGGGAAAGTTATTATCTCGGGAACCGGCTGGAATTTCAGGGGGATGTTTTTGTCTGTGCAGAGACCTTACGGACTCAGACCGAGCCCCCAAGTATGTCGAGGTCCCACATACGGCCACGTGAGAGTTCTGGTGCGAAAGTCATTAATACGGAAACCTTAAACTAGAAGCTTGAAATTTGGAAAAATTTTCCCCGTGAGTTTTCAAGTTCAGCTTTCTTGTACCTGTAAATAAAATTTTTGGTGGGAATTTTCGCAGCTTAGGAGCTAGACAACATATCGACTATTTTTGTACACATGAAAATGCAAAACAGCTAAACTTTGCATAACAACTGCACGATACTGCGTAAAACGCATGATCGCACTAGCTGCCCTCTTGTACGCCGCTATTCAATGCATTTGCATATATGCAAAAACGCATAACGAGGTAGTTGGAAAATACCGTATTTGGAAAACAACATTCTCGGTTGTCAATCAACATACATGCCTTTATGCCACAGTTTCTAGCAAAATTGAGATTTAGCAGTCTCGACATTGCAGATGTTCGTGCGCATGGTGAGTGTGCATGTGTTTGCAAGTGTCTGTGTTCGTGTGCTCTTTTGCTTGCCTACGTGTGCGTGTGTGTAAGCTGCAAAATCTTTGAAAAATGCACTCGTTCACGAAGTGCGTGGGAACATTTCAAGGCGGGCACAGATGCCACAAGCAATAAGACTGCATTTTCGTGGCCTGCAATGTGCATGCACTAGTTGCCCCACTTCATGGTGAGCGAGTCAGACGACTTCTTGTACCGAATGCCTTGATGCTTCCTCGGCGCTCATCGATTCGGCGCCGTGCAGCCACCTTTGCACTTGCTGCATCCGCTCATTTCACTTCTCAGGAGCTGACCCCGTTTTGTTATTCTTCTGCTTC